ACACACTCACTCACACACTCACTCACACACTCACTCACACACTCACTCACACACTCACTCACACACTCACTCACACACGTACACGCACACTCACTCACACACTCACTCACACACTCACGCATGCATTCACACTCACTCACATTCACACACTCACACACACACACACACACTCACGCACGCACACACATTCACACTCACACACTCACTCACATTCACACACATTCACACTCACACACTCACTCACATTCACACACATTCACACACACATTCACACTCACACTCACACACTCACACTCACACATTCACACTCACACACTCACTCACACACACGCACACTCACACTCACACACACACTCACATGTGTCTGAGCAAATCAAAAAAGGATTTAAACTCACTACAGAAATTTCCATGACTTTTTTAGATTACGTTCTATTGTTCTGCAGGCCCAGAAATGACAAACGTCCCTGATATTTCCCAGTTTTGCATCACCCTGGGAGCAGTGCTGGTTTAGTAACAATAATAATTGAGCACCTGTACGATCTTACAGTGACGGCTCTCATGGGATCTATTTGAGCTCTCAGTCAGAGATGAAAGAGCCCACAGGGACGTCCTGTCCATCCCAGAGAAGAGACGTTTAGTGTGGTTTGAGTCTAGCGTATGATCTGATGATGGATGAGTTGAGTCTGTGCGGTCCACCGGTCTGCTCAATTATTCATTTGCAGGGACACAAACAGATTTCAAATTAATTTCAGTCATTGTGTGATTTTACCTTCTCAAGTTTAGAGAGCAGCTCCTCCACCTCTGCTTTGCCCTGTTCCTTCGCCTGCACACAATCAAAGTATCAAAATCACATCAAAGGATCAAAAATAACAAGCCCTCACACACATAAATGACATGTACTGTATATATCGGCCAGGAAGATCGATCAGACTTTGATAACTGCGGTTTCTGAGTATACTGATTAAATTCATTCAGTTTCAAGCATATAAACAAAGAGTAAATATATTATTAAATAATGCAATTTAATCTATATAAAAAATATAATGTATTAATATATAATTCAATAAATATATCCATAAAATATAATAAAACTTACATATAATAATATATTTATTTTTATATTTTGCATATACTGTATATTAAATCACATTATATATATATATATATATATATTTTTTTTTTTTGATCACTGCATAATTTCTTGACTTACATTTGTGTTATTTTAGAGTTTATCAATGCACTTTTATTCTAACATGTAGAAACTAGTCAGAATAAAGAACGAGCAGATGTGCTCAAACCTTTGACTGGTCGTGTATGTGTATTATCATAATTGTTCACTCTGCTGTCTAGGTACACACACGCGCATGCACGCACACACACACACACACACACACACACACACACACACACCCAC